GAGTTAGATGAGAGCTCAGCCTGGCAAAAGAGAGACGGCACATCCAGGACCACATGGGAATGGAACCAACTTTTTTGGCAGCTGTTGAGATGTCAGTCCATCAAATGTAACTGTACCATAAGTAGGAATAACACTGGGTGCTCTAAATACTTTGTCTTTAAATCCACTAAACCTGCCATACTTCACATTTTAAATACACAGGTACAGATGCCACATGAAAAGGAGACAGATCCCATAAAAAGAAGAATACATAGGTGCTACAGAAACTTTTTTAGCTCAAGATTTTTCAGCCATTTATTCCAACTGTTTCACCCATCCTAATAATAGAGAAATTCTGTAAACACTAGCTCACTGAAAGCAGTAAAGCTCATATTGCTTATCCAGATAGATTACATGGGCACCTACAGGTGAAAGTAGCAACATGTTGCATCAATTATTCCTGGTATCATCTCTAAACCAAAGAAAACATTTTGGAAAAAAATTACAAAAATATCCCCCCCTCTTTTTTTTTAATTCTGTGAATAAACTTTAGATCTTAGTTTTTTCATAACTTTAGATTTTTAATTTGGTAATCTGTAAAGACTTTCTGTAGTGTATTTTCATGTATTCTCCGAATATGTGCTGCTGGGAGTAGCTAAGTACAGAGCAAACACATAACCTTGAGTCATTAGTGACCCATTTAAATATTCATCAGAATCAGAGGGATAATATACTTCTTTTTACTTTTTTTGTAATTCCATCCTGCCAGTCAAAAGGATATGCAGAGAAAAAAACCTTTTCTTCCTTCCTTTTGAAAAGAATCTTAGGAAGATATCGTTGCTCTACAAGTATTTCACCATCATATGAACAACTAGCTTTTACACATTTAGGATACATCTAGTTCTGTATGTAGTCATTTAAAGGTTTTTACCAAACTATAGCATATAGAGAAAACAAGAAAATTCTGACAGATTTGTTGTTTATTTTTAGTTTGCTTTTCATATACACAGATTAAAATACAGCTTTGCTTCTACATATATATGACACATGATAAAACATAGGCTGGCCCTTCCCAGGCATCACCACTGCCCAGGAATAAGCAGAAATGGCTAGGGTCAATCTTCACATCCATCAGCAACTCCCATGTCAGAAAACAAAAAAAGCACAAGTTGACTACTCATTCCCAAGGAGACAGTCATAGCAGGTTAAGTCCAGGATGTGATTTCAGTCCATGAATCCTCCTACCACAGGGGAGATTAAAAAAAAAAAAAAAAAATAAAAATCAGTCAAGCTTTTCTCCAGCTTTTCCCTTATTAACCTGAGCAGGAAACCCCCACTCATCATTTGTGAATCTTCTCCAGAACTCAGTTCTCCCCAGGTCCCCAGGGGAGTTCACTTTCCAGGTCAAACACAGAGCTGGCTAGGTACTTTCTAGGTGTTGCAGGCACAACATCACAGTGCCTGTAGCACTTTGTGGGGACAGGCAGAGACTGCTCTGTGCTTAATTTAGTGTAACACTCTCCTGCCTGCTCAATGGGAACTGTGTGGCCACTGCAAATATTTCATGTTCAAACTATGGAGGGGAGGGCAGAATGAGGCTTTTCTCCTTCATTCAAAGCCTCATAATTTTACGTGTAGATTCTGAGGGCTGAACTGCCCATGGAGCCCAAAAGAAACGTAATGATAAAGGAATCCCATTGCAGCAAGAGCAGCACTGCCACATGGCTAACTAGCTGGAACAAATCACACTACTGCTCTCCAGCCCTCTCCTTGAGACACAAGCAAACGTGGCTCAGCAGCAAGTTCTCCAAACAAGGGCTTCAGTTCTCAGATGGAAGGATTTCAAGGAAACAGCCTAGGACTACTAGGCTTTCTTATGAAAGTATTTCCTGGTCTTCTTTCTCCCCCATCTTTACACTTGCAAATGCCTTTCTGAGGCACTGTCTGCCAAGGCACTCTAGGATCATGCTGATAGGAATCAGAACAATCTTTTCAAGGCTTATTTCTCTTCAGCACCTGTACCACCAGGTCCATGGGCCAGACAGGTGCTTCTGACCATGCTCTTCCTTAGAAATTGAAGCATTCTTTGTTTTTCAGACTCTTTGGTAGCAGTCACAGTCTGTTTACTCCAGACTAACAAGGAGTGAAAAGGAAAAAGCAATTAAAGGGGGAGGCCCATTCAAGCAGTTATGTGAAGCAATTTCCAACAATTCCATTTCAGCAATAAACCCTCATCTGTATTAAAAGTCAGACTTCAAGAAATAAAGCTGTTTCCAGCCTTATCACAGTGTTGAATGCAATTTGCTGGAGAACTAAGCATTTCTGGTATTTTACTATATAAAATATATAGATGGTTGGTTTGTTTGGGTTTTTTATATGCAGAAGTTGATTGGGGTGATCAAAATAGGATATATTTTCTACAAAGAGTTTGTTATCAACCAAGGTCATTTGGCCAACTGGCACACAGAGGTTATATCTTTCTGAGGACAGTAAGCCAGTAAAGTTAACATCTCTCTAGGAGTGACCACATCCCAAGCTATAGGAACCAAAGTAATATGAATTGCCGGTGAGTTTCAGTCACATTAAATGCTCTCAGTAAACCTACACCCAACACTTCACAATTTCCTAATTTAATCCTAATTTTAAAAACATTTTGTATTTTTCTTTAGTTGCAGGTCATGGAGTCAGGTGAATAAATGTTCAAGAAGTGTGGTACACACAAAACAATTACTCTGAATAAATTGCCGCTGAAGGCTAAAATCTGAGTTTCATTTGACATTATGTTTAAATAAGAGAGGACTGCTAGATGCCACAGCCAGATAGGGAGTACTGTTGAACCAGTCCTTCCCTGCTGCCTTTCATATATATCTCAGAGTAAGAGATATATTTAGTTCCTTAATGTGTGTGGTTAAAAAACTATGACTCATGTGGATTTTGCTGAAAGATAAATGGTTATTACACTGACCAAAGGGTGTGTCCTCTGAGCTTTCAACTTTGGGGTCCACGTTCATATGCTGCAAGTGAACTGACTGTGAAATGCTTCACAGCATTGATGAGAATGAGAGGAGCAGACAAATTGAAAGGTTTTATCATCAAAAGTGGGTTCTAACAAAAAAGAGTGGGTTCTAACATCTCTGCGTTATTTTAAGCCCCCTTCTTTTCAGGTAAGCTCAAACATATTGCTGACCATTTCTGCTGAGACTTCCTCTGAGACTAGCATTCCTTTTCCTTTGAAGGGCTGCTTGAAAAAAAAGAGTGGTTTAAATACTGTTATTTGCAGTGATCACTGTCTCTTGATTTTTCATAACACCAAGAGGTTCTTAGTGGCTTCTCTCCCCCTCCTCTCTTACTACACCTCAGAATAAGGAGAATACTCAGCATGAAACTCTGCCTGAATACGGAAATCCAGGAGTTGCAAGCAGTTTTAGTGGGAGGAAGGAAGGGGAAATGGCTGCAGCTATAAAAGAACATTCAGAGGGCTGGAGAGATGCTGTATTCTCAACAGCTGCACTGTATCAAGGCAAACCACAAAATAGTTTTGCAGCAGCTCCCCAGAGCACAGTGGAAACAAAAGTCAGACAAGGCTGGTTTGGGTGTTGGGTTTTTTTGATGGTAGAGGACAGGAGGGAGAAAGTAAGAGAAAGAAAAATTGTGCCAGTCTAACATTATGTATACGCATCTGTAAATTTATAGGTAGCTGGCAACACTGCACATTGTCAGGTGTTACCCATTTGTTGTGATTTCCATGCAGAGTTTTAGGGTAGAATTTGTGGAGTAGTGAGTTGCAGTATTAATCTACTAATACAGACAGCAGCAAACATAAAGGAATATCTATGGATGTAGATAATTTTGATTCTCAAACTCTGAAGAAATTTCATTTCATTTACTAGTTACACCAGATTAAAACCAGTATAAATGTCAGATATTCTTGTTGTGTCTTTATTCTCCTCCTCTGACTCTCCACAAAAATACAGACCCTGTTGTCATAAGAAGAAGACGCATTGATTGTCTTAGGCACTGGCTATAGCTGTTCAGATACTTCTAATGAGAGGGTTAAAAAAACTAACTCCTCCCAGGACATGAAAAACTTCAGCTGAAATCATAAGAATGTCTGAGCTGAAGTCCCGTCTCCCTCCCTGCCCCCATTCTGCACTTTACTTAAATAAACTATTTGGCTTGGAAAACATTCCTTGGGTCTAATCTGACTCATGATTTCTCTGCTGCTTTAAAACACCAGGCAACTAGGCAAAAGTTTCACTCTACCTCATCTGCTGGGGAAAAAAAAAAATGTGGCTTTCCAGTTCCTTGAGCGCAGGGATCTCAGTCCAAAATCACCACTTTGGGTGATGCCTGATGCATGACATGTGAAGAGGGAATATAGGCGCTTTCCTAGATTTCCTAACTACACTCTCAGAGGGACACAAGCTGATGCAGTGCTGGCTATGAAAAACTCTTACTTTTACTTTCAAGTTGTTTTTTTTTCCTTTTTTAAAAAACAAGTTTTGGGACCAGTCCATCAAAAAGTAACTTTCAATCAGTTCAGAAATAAGGCTGACCACTCCATATAAGCACCAACTGAAAACTTTTAATGTAACAGGGAGAGTGTTTCTGGTATTGACACCACAGCAAAATCATGATTTTTTTAATGTGTTTACTTACTAAACAAGCAGAGATTTAGGTCCTCCCTCTTCTAAAGAGCACAACCAACTCCCACAATTACACTGTTTCAGATGAACACAGGTATAGACCCATACAAACAATAAAATTAAGATATGTTTACGTATCGACTGTTTATGTTACTACCTATGTACACACACTCAGTCCATGTAAACTGCAAACTAATGCAATTTATCTTAGTCCTTAAGGGAATAGGGATAAAATAATTTCATTTTCCCACGTTTTTCACAGATGCTCAGAGAAACTGATCACAGCACAGTTGGTGACAGATTACTTGTTACATCACCTGTAGGCAGCAGTTTACATCTTCGTGCTTACATTGTGTATAAAGACTTGCGAAGACTGATAGGGCTCTGTGTTTCTTTTTCCAGTTAGTGCAGCTACAGAGTATCTTATTCCAAGGAGTGGCATATGCTTCATCTGCCATCAAAGGGCACACAGTATGACAAAGAAACTATTTTAATACCTCGTAGCAGTGAAAAACAGGAGCTTATAGAAGAGCAGGTGAAGAATTCCGTACGAGCTGGAGCAAACCAATCCATGTCATGTCCAGGACCTGCAGCTCTCCATTACTAGTTGTTTAGACCCAGTTGTGTTAACTACTTCATAGAGAATAACCCAGAACTAAAGTAGAAAGTGATGCTTATTGCTCTACAGTGCTTGCACCAACCCCCGCAAGGCCATCTTTGTCTGCTGATGCACCTCCTCTCATGCCCTCCTGCTGTCTCCCACACAGCAATCTGCTCCTGCTTCCCTCATAGCTGCAGCTCCCAGCCTATCAGGAGAGAGGCAGATACAAAGCTCTTCACCTTCCCTCTGTCTCTTTTCCATGCTATCCAAGGGAGCCTAGCTGTTTTCCCACCACATAGCACCCAGCTTATTACACACTCACTTGAAGTAGAAGAAGTATACAAGAATCCAGGTCAGTTAATTAAGGAACAAGTCCTGGAGGTTTTTTGGTTTTTTGTTTTTTGTTTGTTTATTTTTTTAATGTGCCAAGTCCAGGAACTATGGACACTTCTAAAGTGCTGCTTTCTTTGAAAGGTAGTAGTGTGAGTAGGACTGAACCTCAAGAACAGATTATATCACATATACATACATACATATACAGGCATACTTGGTAGGCAGAAAGACTGCCTTAAGACATCTCCTGACCTTGGCCACAACTTAGATAAGTCCCTCTCTGCATCTTTTTCCTGGGTTTTGTTTTCTATTCCTGCATTAAAATGCGAGATATGTTTACATTCTGCCTACTCAAGAGACTTCTGCAAATCTCTGATCAGCATGATCATATAGCAAAATAGTGGTGAGCTAGCTCTCTGTAAACACACATATTGTTCGAATTAGGGCTTGAAGACAAGGACTTCCTGTTTGCTCTGATTCTTTTACAGCCTTACTTGATGAGTAAATCCTCTGCAAGGGACAATATAATCCATTTCTGGCAAACTCATTAAGAAGTATATGTCAGAAATAAAAATAATAGCTAGAGCACAACCACCTTGCTGTGGTCCAAACTGAGCATCTCAAGCCTTCAGAACCATAGTCAGCCACAAATTTCTTCAGAACTGACAAATAAAGAGCAGGTCTTCAAGACATCATCTAAGTGGCATTTTAATGGCCGGACAACCTCTGCAAATACCTTTGTAGTATGAAGACAATTGAAAACCCGAATTATATCCATTATTGAATTCAGATAATGAGAATGCCATTTCCCAACCTTATTTTTACACCAACTCAGTAATAAATATTCTGCTTGGTGGAAGTATAAATATTCAAGGATCACATACAATAGTGGTAAGCAGAGTAACAGGAGTGTACAGGTGATGACTGAAAGATAGCTCTTGACGTATTAATTACTTGGAGAGATGTAATGCCCAGGTGTAGGTAGGGCTGAGTGAACCCAACACTAAAGGTTCTGACTGGTATTAGAGCTCAGACGCAAGGTTTGCTTGTGCCAAAACATTAACATTTCTGTGTCACTTGAAATTAAGGCAGGGTTGACTAAGAAGAATATTTAGCGCTATTGTTGAACTGCATATCTTCAAAGGCCTGCACCAGCATGAAATTATTAGCTGCATTACATCTCTGTAAATCATGTAAATGAAGGCTCTTGTATGCATTATGCAGGGGGAGAAACAAGGACCCAGGAGGTAAACTGTCAGAGGTTAATAGTAAATCAGTACCTTCAGATGTTGACAAATGCTTGACTTCAGGTCCCATGGCAAATACCATCACAGTGTCTTTTCATGGAAACTGTATAGAAACATTCCATTTGTTGCAGGAAATAAGGAAATCATACGGAATCTTTATGACCCCTTGAAATTATGGGATTCTAAGGTCTGTTAAATTGGCAAATAGTGTCTCTAACTGACCTGTTTGAATTTGTTGACCACATTAATAGCCTGAAAACTGAATATTGATGTATGCAACATGTTTATCATGTAACTCATTAGTTAGATTTCTAAATGAAATTCAGTTTAACTAGCAATATGGAGCATGGGAAGTAAAACAGCAAAAGAAGTTAAAAACCAAGAGAAGAAAACTTTGAATCTTATACTGCAGCAAGTATAAGATTCACTTTTTATCAGCCTAATTTTGGCAAGGATATTGAGAATCAGAGCCAAAGTGCTGTCATTTTTAGTAGTGTGATTCATGCACCAGCGAAATTCTCTGGTGTGCTGCACTAGATTCTGCCAGGTGTGAATGCAATCATTCTTTAGTTCTGAATCTCTAATAAGTGATCCCCCATTCCTCCTCTGAATTAATTTAGGAACAATTGTTACTTTGGTGGAATAAGAACTGAGAACCTGAAATCTCTGTAAAACTCGGTACAGTTTTATTTTTAGTGAACGATTTTTCAACTGTCAAATGCAGCTATGTATACAAACAAATAAGCTGGAAGCTAGAGTCTGGGGGGGTTTTTGGGTACAGGTTTTTGGTTTTCATTTTGGTTTTGGTTTTGTTTGGTTGGAGTTTGGGGTTTTTTCTTACTTAGAGGAAACAGAGCTCAGAATACGATACTGTTTGAAAGAGGATGATTAATGTAGAGAAAAAGACTAATCATGAGGAAACAATTAAGATACCAAAGATAAGAATTATTAAGTAAAAATAGTTTTCAGTCATCGGTCTAGAGAAGGAAATCAGATGAGGATGTAGTTGGAGATAGTTGTTCACTCTCACATATTGCTGTTTTTACCACACATACTTGCTACCTCTTTTTAGTGTCCTGATGGGTTTCATAGGTAGGCTAATGCCTGTTTGGCATCTTCACTACCAGTCCTGGAGGAAGGGATTTCCCACCTCACCATCTTTGAAATATCCCCATCAGTCAGGAACAAAGGCCAGCAATAACAAGACAGAATTGCATTCATTGTATATGAGATACCCCTTTAAAGGTGGCCTACTTTTTGGCAACCTTTCAGTGGTAAGATGCTTGCTTTGAAGCTTTTGATACAGAACTTTTCAGAACCTGAAATGTTTGACATCAAGGTATACTTCTCCTATTCTTGAGATATTGTTACAACCTTAGTTGAAAGAACAGAGAGCAAACCTAAATTCAGCATAAATATCAAGAATGTCATTCCTCTTGTCCCAAACTTGTGGTTGTGCCTGAAAAAGGGACAAGACTGTGTGTTTCCCTTCAGCAGAGCTCTTCCCTGCAATAGGGGCAGCAGTTCCAGCAATGTGGAAAGAGCCGAGAAATATGAGAGTCCAGAAACAAAGCAATGAGAGTTCAGCTGGGCAACCCCAGTCAGAAATCATCTGGAATGCGGCAACACTAAGTTGCAGGCTAAGTTATGGATTTGGAAGTAGCTAAGGAAAATTAAATTAACTCACAGCAAAGAAAAAAAGATACACATTCTCCGCTGCAGTTTCCTTTTCCCTTTGTTCCCACTCAGACTCCTCTAATGATCAAGTATCTGTACAGTGAGATTGGAGTTTGCATGGGATGACCATACAAATCTTGCCCCAAGCTGATAATACAGAATATACAAGGAGATTTCAAATTTGCCTCTGTGTGACATGAGCATATGCTCATATCCTTGTACTCAGATGCTCTAAGATTTTTCTCTAGTCTGCAGCAGGATATCTTATTTATCTTTTCAGTGAATAGGAAGTAGGAAGTTGAGAGAAGGACATCCAAAAGTAATTAACACATATTATTTCATCTGCATCCTCCTTCCAGACTGAGGGATTCTAACTCCACATGAAGCAGAATAGAGATCTGTCCACAGCTTCTGTAGGAGATGAAAGCATTTCAGGATGACATGAGGTGAAAAGTTTCCATCATGGAAAAGCCTGGACTGACTGGGTAGTGTTGTTGCCGAATATGACTTACATCTGCATGCTGCCTCATTTTTCAAAGTAGAATTTAAATGCACTTGAAAACTACACCCATGGCCTGTGGAAATTTAGCTTCAGAAGCTAACTTCATTGATGTGCACCGTCTGAAACAAGCCTTTACTTGCACTGCTGCTTATTTTTGACTGTCAGTATGCATAACAAGTGGTATCCATGTAATGAAGGATCAGGTTGAAGATACTTCCTTTACTGAGACAGATTTCTTTCCTTTAAATTGTGAGTTACGTACTCTTTGTTATGGCTGAAATTTATCACTTGATATGAAAAACTTCCTTTTATTATTATGTTAATTGAAACTCAGGACTTGAAGATAAAAAGACTGATTCTTTTCCCACCTGCTACGAACAGTTATGGTTCAGGGTGCATTTGATGGTTTGTTTCCATGTTGGTTTTTTTACTTTACTTGTGCAACAACTTTTTCACTAGTTAATTTCAAGGCAAGGTATCGGTGATTTGGCAGTCTCCTTTTACATATCCTCTGTGATTTTGATCGCTATAATAATTGTATCAAGCAATAATTAGTTTTATATTATATCACCCACAATATTCCATGCAAATATATTTTCACACAAATAGAGCTCATGATCTTCTTTGCTTACTTTCAATTGCCCCACTGATCTCTACCTCTTCAATTTTCCAGTGCATATTTGATTCATGTAGCTCTGAGTCCTTGACCTTATCACCTCCAAGCCTGTGGAGAATTTGTAGCAATGGATCTATACAGACCCTCTTCAAGTGGTGTTCATTGCATTTTTGTTTTCTCTTCTCTCATAAAGAAAGTTCTGAAAGTCCACAGGAGTTGAGGCTCTGTATCTGTTCACAGTGTTATGCCACAAAGATGCAATGGAAATTTTTTAATACTGTGATTTGATCCCCACTTTAGCAATATACTGATTAACAGTGGTACAAGCTTGGTATACTAGAACTTATTACCACATGTCCAACTTATTTATAGTGTGTCTACACACATCCATTAATGTGTGTGTTGATATAGAGAAAGCATTCTCACCAGCATTACATTAATTTGCTTTTGCTAGAATTTACTGAGTCTGTAAAGTAAGATACGCAGGTATCCCCCAGAACTGCCAAGACAATGAAAATAATTAAAAAAAAAATTTATTTAGAAGGCCAGAACATGAAAAGCTTACAAAAACCTCACAGTGCTGTAGAAGCACCGGACCCCAGGGAGAAAAAGCAAGTTCCCACCCACTCCAGGGCCTTTAGTATGTTCTCTGTTTCTCCCCTGCCTTCCCAAGGCCTCTGTGCATGTCTGCTAGGGTTATCTCTCTCCAGCATAGCAGAGAGAGATAACACAGCTCTCTCTGCAACTTTCTCTGAAATGCCGAAAGGGAAAAAGGCTTTCTAAGCGAAAAATGGGTTCTAGCTTCACATTACAAATTCTTCCAAAAGCACCATTATCCTTACAGAGCCTGATGATCATCTTAAAAGGACCACCTGCCTTAATTTTATCTTGCCTCCTACTTTTGTTGAGAATTTTGATTGCCTTAAGTCAAAATTCTGCGACTGGCAAAAGGGCAGAAAAACCATAATTAGACAATTAAAGATGAAATTTAAAAAAAAAAAAGTAAAGAATTCTGTGATGAAGCTTAAATACTTAAGAGATACATAACTATACTGAATATGGGCCTGATTCTAATATTACTGAAGTCAATGTGAGTTTCCATCATATTATCTGAGCGTGAAAAGAATCAGAGCCAATGTAGAAAAATGTTTATAACAGCCATGCAACTTTATTAAATGCTATAAGTGTAGTCCAAATGGACTTCAAAAATATAGTAAATTATCATAATTAATAATTGCATTATGATTGTGTAATAGTTACATCAGTGTCATAGAGCAATAGATTGAGTTGATAGCGACCTGAAGAGAGGTGTATGTGTCCTGAATTTATTTAAATAAGAGAAATTGGTTTGGCTTCAGTAACAATCAACTGAGCCTTCTATCAACATATGAACCAAGTCTCTGTTTTGACCTCCTCAATTCCTACCAATGTAACCTTTAAGGAACAAATAAGAAAAATAGAAAAAAAAGAAAGAGGAAAAGCGGTATATACTTTAAATAAGCAAACACCTCCCAGAAAGCTCACTGGCTGCTGCTGTGGAGGTTTACCCCTTTTGAGAAGGATAACTAGACATCTCAGTTTCAGTGAAGCAGCACTGAGTTGTCTTCTGTTTTGCCTTTACTCATGTATAATTGAGGAAAATTTTCCATTACATTTGTCTACTGATCTCTTCAACAGCACTCCCTCCTGGGCTGCTGAGCTGCTCTCTGCCTATCAGTTGTTCTTTTTTGAGAATCCATGACCATTACTTCTGCTGAGAATAACGGATGATGATTTATTTCAGCTATAGACAGCCACTGTGGCAGATACTGTGGAACAGAAACTAAATGAAGCAGCTGCCATAACTGTTCACATAGAACCTGTTTATTTCCCATTAGAAGTCCATTTGCTGGACTACTTCTCCAAAGCCACTTAAAATTATTCTGAAATAACTGTCTTAAAATACCAAAGAAGTATTAGAAGTCAATGGCTATGAGCTGTTCGCACAAAGAACAATGTTCCTGCTTCCTTACCATTTACTAGCACCTTATGGACTCCCTCTACACGATGATCCACAGAGCAGTCGAGTTGTGGCTCTATGTATCTGTGCTATGCTCTTTGATCTCTTTAGTCCTACATGGGAACAGTGTCCTGACTACAGGAGCCTTCAGCATACCTGTCCCTTCAACACAGGGTGCAGAGGACTGGTAGAAATTCCTTGCACTATCTTATCTCTTCTCAGGTCTTTCCTATAAGAGCATAGCATAACTTTTTTGTTGTTTTGTTTGGTTGTTTGTTTTGTTTGTGGGGGTTTTTTTAAACAATGAATTGTGGTGATGGATACATGGTGCTGCTTCCACGTTTTCTCCACCGACAAAGTACAAGTCTCCTTGTTATTCAAAGCAAGATACTTGGCTATAACCAAGCTAAGACGTGAAGTCCAGAATTATAAACAATTTTATTAAAGATAGCTCTAATGAAGCTGATATGTCTACACAGCAGACACTACCCAAAGGTTCAGCTTAATGCTGCATTAAATCATATAGTCCCTCATATATCTATATATACTACAAAAGGAAGGCTGAAGCCAGATCGTGTCATTGGATCAGCCCCAGTACTCAAAGGAGCCCCACTGAGAAACAACTTCCCTTAGACATCTTCATTGCTCGCTCATTACTGCTATATTGTTTGGCACACATCCATTATCTGAACAAATGTGTGTTGAAAGAGATGTTAAGAAATTAATAACTATTTGCACCAACCACAAACACTGTGGCTCTCCCATTCACATCAGCTGGAGGAGAACTTGAATCTGAGAGCACACCAAACCCTGTTATCCAACATGGGGTATGAGGTTTAGGGACTGTCCAAAAAAAAGGAGATATTTCTCCAAACTCTAGCATTGTTCTGTGATTTCTTGTAATATGATGCTGGCCAGACAGTATTAAATTTTTGGCTAGATAATTGTTTGGCCCATCTAATCCAGTATGGTGAGACTCCGCCTTGAGTACTGTATCTAGCTCTGGGGTTCCCAGCACAGGAAGGACATCAACCTGTTTGAGTGAGTCCAGAGCAGGGCCACCAAGCTGATTAGAGGGATGGAGCACATTTCCTATGCAGAAAGGCTAAAAGAATTGGGATTGTTCAGCCTGGAAAAGAGAAAGAGAAGGCTTTGGGGTGACCTAATTGAGGCTTTCCAGCACCTGAAGGGAGCCTCTAAGAAAGATGGAGAGAGACAATCTACAAAAGCGTGAAGGGATAGGACAGGTGGGAATGGTCTCAAACTGAAAGAGAGTAAGTTTAGATTGGATATCAGGAAAAAATTATTTACTATGAGGGTGGTGAGGCACTGGAACAGGTTATGCAGAGAAGCTGTGGATGCCCCATCCCTGAAAGTGTTCATGGCCAGGTTGGACATCCAGCCAGGTATAGTGAAAGGTGTCTGCCCATGGCAAGAGGGTTGGAACTAGATGATCTCTAAGGTCCCTTCCAACCAAAGCTATTCTATGATTATATGATTCTATGATAATGGCTCAATGGTTGGCTGATAAGTTTTGAAAGAGCATGCATGGAAAATACTTTCCAATGTATGTATTAAAAAGTTATAGTTTTCATAATTGTTGGTCTGTATTCTAAAGATTTGTTCAAAGTAATGAGAAATAAAAGTGGTTTGACATCACCTGGAAACTTCTCTCTTTTAAAACTTGCCCTAACAGCAAATTTTGCAGAGGATATTTTTATTATCGTCAGTTTCAATTTAAATTGTGCCATAGGCATTAATTGCTGGCTTCAATGTGAAATAGTTCCTTTAAACAAGTATGATCCAAAGGGAAAAAGAGTTCTTAGATGTTTACTTGCTAAAGTCGGCTGATCAAAACACTTCTGGCATGCTAATGGCTCCAAAAGCTGTCATGTTACTTGTGTTGCTTCAGGAGTCAAAATATTAATAGTGATATTTGCATATTAGCAACCATTCATACTAATTGTATTTTAAGGAAAAAAATATTTCTGATTTCACACCACAGAACCAAAGTCACTAAGTACTCCCTTTTTTCAGCATAGCGGATTGCTGAAAAGAGACTGTTAGGCCTGGGGAGAGAGCCATACCAATAAATTACTCTTTTGTCTCTCTCTTTTCTTTTTCCTATCCATATGGACCAATCCTAAAATGGCTGAAGCATACCAAGAATTCATCTCTTTAGAAATTTAAAGAGTTTCATATCATCTCAACTGCTTTTGTGTGTTGCTGAGCTTCTGGCTATGTGTCTCCCTCAGCCATCTGCTTTATGGTAGATATGGTAGTTGAACATCCACATCTTTGCAGGGGTTTTCCCTTCATTGGGATGGGGGGTTGTCTTTCCTATGTGAAATTTCATGGGCAGGATGCAGGTTTAGTTTGATTTGGTCAGGATACATGGGTCTGCATTCCTGCACCATCAGAGTGTTCCATCACTAGAAAAGGGCTATCATTTCATGAAAACATGCATAAAGTAGGTTTATACATGTGCAGTTAGAATAGGTTTTGTCTCAAATCGAATTATTATTATAATCAGTCAATAACTGTTCTGCTGAAGCAGCAGAGTCAAAATGAAGAAAAACTCTGGCTGTACAGTCAATGGCTGATTTCAAGGAACAAGTTTGAAAAAAAACAAAACACTGTTCACTGGAAGTGTTGTGAGGAAATACTCGAACTTGAGCCTCAGTGTTTTGAATTAAATTTCATTTATTATTTTATCTTGTTTAAAGCTCACTGAGCTACTTTAGGTTTATGTTAGTATAAACTTTCAAGTAGTTATCTTCGCTGCCCAGGTTAATTTAAAATCCTACTTGATTTAAAGTGATACCATTCACATGAAAGATAATATGAAAGAATACTCATATACCGTTTATACCATATACTTTTATTACAATGTTTATATCGGTCATCATTTTTTTTGCTCCTATTTTGTGGCCAGACGTACTTCGTTGGATGAACTACATTTTCCTAATGCCATGTTTTTTCTATCCAAACTGCAGGCTTTTCCATTCCACCGGCACTCTAGATAGCCAGGAACCGTCCCGTCCGCCGAGGCGGCTACAGGCAGGCAGTTGACTGGGTACGGCTGGCTCTCCTCGACACGTGGATGCTGCTTTCGGCTGTGCCCGGTGCTGGCAGTGCCCCTGGGGCACAACCTCTGTAGAGTCCCCTCTCAGGTGGACAGCCATGCCCCCATCTTTCCCATGCTCTCTGTACATGTTCCCCCGGAGGCAGCTGATAAATGGGGCTGGATACACTCCCGGCACCTCCTCTAGGACAGGCTGAGGAGGAGAAGAGCCGCTTGGCTCAGGGGTGGTCAGGGGGCGTTGCCGTCCCGCTGCCGGGAGCCCTCCCGCTCTATCCGCCGGGGCTCTTTCGCCAGCTCGGAGGCTGTCGCGGCTCTCTTGTGTGCCAGAGCAGGATCCGCCTGCTTCGCGACCCACAGCCTGGGCTGGGGGAGGGAAGGGGAGCGAGGACGGACGCTGTCCTCGCCTTTTCCGCCCCGGAGAGGGCCCCCCACCCCGCTGAGCCGGGGCTTCTATTTGCTTTCGTCGTTACCTCTGCCCGGGACTCCCATCGGCTAGCAGAGGGGGCTTGGGAAGGGGCCAGCTGCCCGCCTTGGAAGAACCCGTGGGCGGGGAGGGGGCTGGCCACGGCCGCCGCTTGGCCTGGCCGGAGGGACCACGTCAGCTCCCCGCAGCCGCGGGGACCGAGATGGGCGACCCCGAATGACTGCAGCCCCCCACCCCCAGTCACGGGGGGCAGAGGCGCCCGGGGAGGAACGATAGGGTCCTGTTGCTCGCCGCGAGGGTCCGCCCGTCGCCGCCAGCCCCAGGGGCACAGCGTGGGCAGCTCCTCTCACACCCCCTTCGGCCACCTCCCCCGGGAAGGGAGAAGCCGGCGGCCGGGCAGACGTGGCAAACAACCCCGCCAGCTTTCCCTCATCTGGGTGGGCGGGTGGCCGTCGGGAAGGGGAGCTGCCGGGAGCGCCCATCCTCCTCCCTGCGCCCGGAGAGCCCCCTACGGCGGGACGGGAGGCGGGGAGCGCTCGGGACGGCGGCTGCGGGGCACTCCGGGCTCCCCCCGCACACACACACTGCCCGAGCGGCCGCGAAGCTGGGAGAGGAGACTGGCGGCTCTCTGCCCGCGCCCTGGCCCGAGACGCTTCCCCGGGGAGGGTGAACGGCCGGGACACGGCGGCCGCTGCGAGAGGGCTGAGGGGCTGTCGGTGCCCCGGCACCCGCTGTCCGCAGGGGCGCGGGACCGGGGTGACCGTGCTAGAGGCCTCGCACTAGAGGGTCCGGGAATATGGGGAGGGTCGCCTTTTGTCCTTGGTCGCAGTGGGACGACGAGGAGAGGCTGAATAGGGGATCCAGCCTCGTCCCGGCTCCCCCGGCCGCTTTCCCGCAGGGCAGGAGGCTCCGTAGGCCCTGGACAGCTCCCGCTTTGAACGCCGTCGGGGCGCTGCCAGCCGGCTGCCCGGCGAGGCTCCCGGCCGCGCTCCCAGAAAAGCGAGGCAAGAGGGGCGGGGGACGGCTAAGGGGAAAGAAGAAAAAAAAAAGAGAGAGAATGAAAAGGAAAAAAAAAAAAAAATCAGACGACGAGTCAGATTTTCCTTCCGAAAGCCTCAAAATGTCCACGTCCTCAAAGCATGGAACCAATTTACCGTCGCCGCCCCCCCGCCGCTCCCGCTGCCAAGGCTGCCGCGCCGGGCCGGAGACACGGGCACGTGACGGGCTGGGCGGTGCCGGGACCCTCCTGCGGTATAAGTAGAACGGACCGGGGCTGGGTTAATTTAGCGTCCCGGGCAGCAGGTTTCTGCTAAGGTTGGAGTTACTCCTCAAGACTGTATGCCTGCGTCCCACAGGCGATAGCTAACCAACCGACTCGGCACCACAAGGAGTCTGCATGTCTTGCAACTAGACATGCTCAGCTTTGTGGATACACGGATTTGGTTGCTGCTCGCAGTAACTTCATACCTAACAACAGGCCAACGTAAGTGCTTTCCGCTTGTTTGTGGCAGGGGTGGTGGCAGGGGTGGCTGTCCGGCTCTGCGCTCTGTCCCGACGCCCTCCCCACGGACGGCAGTCTGCGGGGAGCTGCCTCTTCCCAAACGATAGAGACCAGCTCATAAACTGCCACCTCCCGTCCCAGATCAGAATCTAGCTTCTTTCTTCCCCTCAGAAAAAGATGGCAAAAGGCCAACGATAAAAAAAAAAAAAAAAAAAGAAAAAAAAGAGAAAACCAGAATAACCCCCTCCCCCCAGACAGGCTCGTACCTAAAGGAGAACGCAAAGCCCTATCTCCAGCGCAGATGCTGGGAAGGAGATACAGATACAGGCTGGGAGGAGAGTGCTTGCGGCGAGCGGAAGAACCCAGGTTGCACTTTTGTGAGACTTCAGGCGCGCTTTCCGAAGCGGAGGAGCGGGAGAGCGGCGGCTCATCACTTCCCTCCCTCCGGGGGGCGGCGGGGGCTCCGTGCGGGACCCGCCGTCCCGCTCCCCGCGCGCGGCAGCGCCCCCTGCGGGCGGCTCGGAGCCCTGCGGCGCCCCAGGGCCCTGCGGCCCAGCGCGACGGGACGGGGCTGCTCTCGTGTTCCCGCGGAGATCCCCGCACGCTGAGCCCGCCCCAGGGGCTCTCCGGGGAAGGGAGGACGAAAGGAGGCAGGGAAGCAATATTGCTCCGCTCTAGTGAGAAAAGGGAGCGCGGCTCCCCGACGTTCGCTGAGAGAGGATTTAGTGCCCCCCATCGCAGAGGGAAAAGGGCACCCACACACGCACACGTACTGTGGTGGGAGAGAAACGCGCCCCGCTCACTCGGCTGGGGCCGAAGCTGAGCGCTTTCCCGCCCCTCTGCCTGACAGCGCCCTGGGAAGTGGCCCCCTGAGCCCCTGGCCGTCGTGCCTCTGCACTGGCCTTTGGCCGCCTTCCAGGGCGGAGGAGGGATGGAGCAGCCGTGCGCTGCCCGCTCAGGGCACTGGGAGCCCCCAGGAACATGCCTCGGCTGTGCCCCTGCCGCTGCCAGCCCGGGGGGGTGGGGGGGGGGCGAGGGGCCGGGGGAGTGGGCAGCGCGGTAGCCGTGGCCCGGGAGATGCCCGAGGGCATTCTGGGGACATCCCCCCACCCACCCCCGGTGACGGGCGGCAGCAGCTCCTTCGCCAAGGAGACGGAGCGGTTCGTGTGGGGGACCCCGAACCGAGCGGCCCCGCGCTGCCCGCAATGAATTTGGGTAGTTGCCAGTGTCACGTCACCTGGGGGCAGTAATGGCTTCAATTTTATGTTAGGTTAGCACAGGCAATCGGTGTGTGCTGCCGCGGTATTTCAGTGCTTTCAGCATTTCAGCAGTGTTACCTTTTGCTGGACTGTACGAATCATCTGAATTTAGTGTGATCGTACATTGCCAAAGTGACACGTTGTGGAAAAATCTCCAACAACCTGCTACTGAGGGATAAGGTCAAATTGGTGGCATTCAAGTGTGATATGAGACCCTCTTACTA